TGTGGCCCCCCCCAGGTGTGCGTCGGGGGGCACTTGAGGAGTGAAGCGTGTCCCCGAGCTGGTGGCGTCCCCAGGCCGGCTTCGTTCCTCTCGCCTCCCTCCCAGCCCGCCCGGCGTCCCTGCGTGACCTTGGCGTGTCCTTGTCCCTCTTGTCCTCGGCCCCATCCTCCTCCTCCCACCCAGCACCGCGGGGGGCCGGGGGCACCGCAACCTGCCCCCGCATTTTGGGAAGCCTCCAATCACCCTGCCTGGGGTGTTCAGGGATGGTGGCACTGGATGGTGGCACCGAACGTGGTCCTGCCCTCTGGTGATGACTGTCCCAGGCGCTGCCACAAGTGGCACGTGAAGTGGCATCATCAAACCCCCTCTTTGCTGACTCATGAGGAAATTTGGGCTTTCACAGTGCCCAAACACCAATGCTGGGCTGGTCCCATGCCCCTTGTCACCAGAAGTGCCACCAAGCCAGGCTCACAGGGATGTGTGGTGACTCACATCCTGCAAAGCTGGCTCTGGTGCCCATGTCCCAGCCTGGTAGCCACCCAGGGGAGTTTGCAAGCCCCCTGCCATGCCATCAGATGGTGGCGTCAGAATGGCCTCGCTAGGTTGGTGGCACCAAGACTGGGCCTTTGCTGAGATGGTGGCACTGGGACCAGCCTCTCTGTGATGGCACCAGGATGGCCTCGCCGGGATGGTGACACCAGGACAGACTCACTGGGATAGTGGCACTGGGACTGATTGTGCCAGGCTGGTACTGGGATGACCTCATCCAAGATGGCACCAGGACTAACCTCACCAGGACAACACGGTCCTCACGGGGATGGCATTGCCATAAGGTGGCACCAGGATTAGCCTTGCAGGGATGACACCAGGACTGGCCTCACTGGGATGGCACCAGGATGATCTCACTGGGATTAGCATCTCCAAGGCTGGGACTGGTCTTACTGGGATTGGTCTCGCTGGGATGGTGGCACCAGGACATCCCTGGGATGGCCTCACTACAAGGGCACTGGTCTTGCTGGGATGACTTCACCTAGGATAGTGTCGGGATGGTACCAAGGTGGCCTCACCAGGACAGCACTGGAGTGGCCTCCCCAGCACCTGGCACCTGTCCTGTCTCTGCACAACCACCACCCTCATGTCTGGGTGGATCCCAGAGCTCTCCCCCTGCACTGTCAGTCCTTATGGGCTCAGGGGAGCCATGGACTGGGGCCACCAGGTGTGGGGCTGGAGCCCTCCATGGTGGTGGCTTTGGCCATCACCGCCTGGGGACGGGCCTGGAGTGCTGGAGGGCTCTGCTCTGCTGCTGGCCAGGTCTCAGAGCTTGCCTGGGCACCAGCTCCCCTCAAATTTCCAAACCTATACGCTGCCCTGGCCCATTTGAAGAAGAGGAGGAGATCCCCCAAATCCTGAGGTCTCCATGATCTGCGAGGCTGCATGGCCAGACTGGAAAGGGGAAAACCTTGGAGGAAAAAAGGGCTGTGCTCAGCTTTTATGAGCCATCAGAGAAGCCACACCTGTCCATGCATGGCCACCGAGGGCTGGGGGGGGGGACGGGATTTGCCCTACCCGGGGAGGGAGTGCAGGGGGCCAAGAGGCTCCAGCTCTCACTGTCTCCTTCCCTCCTTGCAGAGCTCCTACCCCATCTGGGAGGATTTCAACTCGAAGGCCACGAAGCTGCACTCCCAGCTCAGGTGAGTGGTTGGGGAGTGGGGGGACACATGGGGGAACCCCCTGATGCCCACAGACACACCCCAGGGTGCCCAGCACCCACTGAGCTCCCCCTCCTCCCTTGCTGTCTCCACCCCAGGACCACGGTGCTGGCCGCTGTTGCCTTCCTGGATGCCTTCCAGAAAGTGGCCGACATGGCCACCAACACCCGAGGTAGGGTGTCCCCCCCCCGCAGGGGTGGGTGCCCCCAGGCTTGGCCAGGCAGGGGACCCCAGTGGGTTGGGGACATCCTTGCCCACGTGGCTAGGATGGGCTTCAAGCAGCAACCTCCCCATCCGTGGAGACGTGTCCAACCTGACCCCACCCTGAGGTGGAGCATCCTCTGGGAAGCAGGGTTGGGAAGCTGGGGTGCAGCTGAGGCTGGGCTTGGGTGGCTGCTTCTCACCCACCTCCCATGGGTGCTTAGCTGAGCTCTTCTGGTGGGGCTGGTTTGCCTGCGGGGAGATTTGGGGTGGTCCCCTGCACCCATCTCTGCCCCTGGATGAAGCCAGCTCCTGGTGCCCCTTGTCCCCTGCGCCCACCCCGGAGATGTGGGGTGGTCTGGGGCGGCTCCAGGGAAGGAGGACAAGATGGAGGAGCCCACCTTCCGCTGCTTCAGAGGTGAAGAGGTGATATGAAGAGCTGAGGCTGTAGGTGGGGTCCCCCCCGTCTGCTGGGGGGGAGGGGGCTAGAGCCCCAGCCCCCCGGACCCTCTGTGGGTGCCCGTTGGCAGCGAGGAGCTGCTTCCCACCGCTCGGCTTCTGCCAAGCAGATGGTCCCAGGCTGGTCTGCAGACTGGCTGGCGGCATCCAGGCCATCTGGAGCTGCCCGGGGAGCAGGAGGAGGAGGAGGCAGCTTGAGCCAGGATCAGCTTTGCCTCCAAACCCACTGGCCCACTGCACTGGGGGGGATTAGGGCTCCCCAGCTCCAGCCCGGGCACTGGAAGAGGAAGGGAGTTGGCATAGAGTGGGATGCTGGGGACCGGTGCCACGGCAGTTGGCATCATCAGCCACCCCTGGACATCCCTGCTTCTCAGTTTTGGAGGGGGGGTGGGGGAGCGGGAGGCAGACCGTCGTCGTGGGGAAACTGAGGCAGGGTGGGGGCTGGCTGGTGGCCTCGCACACAGCGCGGGAGTGCACGGGGAATCGGATTAGGAACAGCAGGAGCCGGGATAAGAGCATTAGGAGCAGGATTAGGAGAACACCCCAGCACAGAAGTCGTCCCCCGGCTCCTGTTTCCACAGCTCTGGGGGTGCCCAAAACTCCTGCAAAGGGTGGGAGATGTCTCTGGAGGCTTTTCTGGGGGGGAGAAAAAGGCAGAATATCACTCCCTAGCCTGCACCCATGGATTTTTGGATTGCTGCTTTTCCTGGGATTTGCCAGCAGCACTGCCACCGTGTGGCCATCCTTAGGCTTCAGAGTTAACAGCGGTTTGACCAAACGAGGATGCTCCTACTTTCAGTTGCTGGCAAATATCCCCTCCCCGGGGAACTCGGGCTTCTTTTTAATACCCTGGGGATGGTGCCTAGAGGTGAGGGACAGAACTGCCTGCCTGGCATCAGCCAGGGAAACTGCTCCCGGACCAGTTTGCTCCCAACTGACCAGTTTCTCACTCCATGAGGCTGTGTGATACCTCATCCCCTCCCTTCCCTGCCTCCCCCAGCCCTGAATTTGAGATAAATCGGGAAAAACCAGGAGCAGGTTTTCTTTTTGAAACCATGGGAGGAGATCTTTAGCAGATCGAGTGGATGGTGATTGATTTATTCTGTGGATTTATGAGGGGAGGGTGGGGGATCGAAGAATCCCCAGAGCCCGAGCGCGTCCAGCACCGGTCATCCCCGTACACAAACCGGGCTGGGACTGGCGTGGGGGTGTCCCCAGCAGCATTTCACCCCCCTGCCCAGGTGCCACCAGGGACATCGGCTCGGCGCTGACCCGCATGTGCATGAGGCACCGCAGCATCGAGGCCAAGCTCCGGCAGTTCACCAAGTAAGCGGGTCCAGGGCACGGGACAGGGGGTGTGTCCAAACCAGGATGGGGGGGACACAAGGTGCCCGGGCTGGGCACGGGCTTGGGGGCAGGGCCATCCTCCCCCCCCGGCCCGGCTCCGGCACCGTGCCACACTCTGTGCCGCTCTCTCGCCCCGCTCCAGCGCCCTGATGGAGAGCCTGATAAACCCTTTGCAGGACAGGATTGAGGACTGGAAGAAAACGGCCAACCAGCTGGATAAGGACCATGCGAAAGGTACAGGTGGGATGGGCAGGGGCTGTGCTGAGGGGCATGGGGTCATGGAAGAGTTGGGGTTGGACCTGACCTTTATGATCATTCGAGTCCAACTGTTCCCCCAGCACTGCCAGGTCCCCACTGACCCATGTCCCTCAGCACCACATCTCCACAGCTTGGAAACCCCTCCAGGGATGGGGACTCCACCACTGCCCCGGGCA